AGTTCTGGTGGGGGGGGGACAGCTTGGGGCTGGGAAGATAGCTCAGTTAGACAAGTGCTTGCCTAGCAAGCGCAAGTTGAGTTCAATTCCCAGCTCCACAACCAAAAAAAAAAAAAAAAAGAAAAAGAAAAAAAAGACAACTTGATGAAAATATAGACAGGATTTGTTCTTTGTTTGCTTGTTTGCTTTTTGGCATAACCAGTGTTTGAACTCAGGACTCTGCACTTGCCAGGGAAGCGCTTATTCTACTGAGCCATCTCCCCAGCCCCTTAAGGAAGGTGTGCAGATGTTAAGAAGCTCATGAAAGAATGCTTAGTGTCAGTCACGGTGGAACCATAAGATAACACACACATCTAGAGTAAAAAAAAAGTACAATACCAGCAGGATCTGTGGCATGTGCCTATACTCCCACCATTTGCTGGGTGGGCTGAGGAAGGAGGATTGCCACAATCTCAAAATCTGAAGCCAGTCTGGGCCTTGAAGCAAGATCAAAAAAAAAAAAAAGAAAAGAAAAGAAAGAAGCATAGCAAGTGATGACAAGAACACATAGTTTTCTGCAAGACAGAGGAAACATCCAACAGAGTAAAGCTACAATCTACAGAATGGGAAAATAATTTTGCCAAATCTATTCCTTGGCCAGAGAACTAATATGTAAAATATAATAAAGAACTCAAAAAAGAACACAGGACTGTGTGGGAGAGCTTCCGGCTACCCTGAGCCGGTGGGACCTACTGGTTCCAGCCCAGGCGCAGCATGGGTGAGACCCTTTTCCACCCCCTTGGGACACCCCCACCACTCTGCAGCACCTCCCCTACCCCACCCGCCAAGTAGGAACTTCTGCTGCATACCGGGAATCCCCAGACCCACTCCTAGCCCAGGCCCGGTGAGTGTGTGGGAGTTTCCCACTACCCTGCGCCAGTGGGACCTACTGGTTCCAGCCCAGGCGCAGCGTGGGTGAGACCCTTTTCCACCCCCTTGGGACGCTCCCCAAAACTCCGCAGCACCTCCCCTACCCCACCTGCCGAGTAGGAATCTCTGCTGCATTCTGGGAACCCCCAGATCCAGTCCTAGTCCAGGCCCGGTGAGTGTGTGGGAGAGCTTCCAGCTACCCTGTGCTGGCATGACCTACTGGTACCAGCCCAGGTGCAGCATGGGTGACACCCTCTTTTACACTCTTGGGACGCCCCCTACCACTCTGTAGTACCCCCCCACACCCTACCACAGAGTAGGAATTTCTATTGCGTTCTGGGAACCGCCAGATCCAGTCCTAGTCCAGGCCCAGTTATTGTGTGGGAGAGCTGCCTCTCTCCCCTACTCCACCTTGTCCCCTCCAGACTCACCTCAGGCCTGGCACACAGGCCTGGGGTGAAACCCTTCAACTGCAATCCCTGCAGAGAGTGTAGGAGACAGAACCACCCAGCTAGTCCAGAAGCAGAACATCTTGCCAGAAGAGCACAAGGTTCCCCCCCACCAGGGCAGCAACAGGAAGGAACTGAGCACAGCAGCCAGACCCAAGCCAGGCACAGCTGGATAAATCCAAACTTTGTAGATCTACACCTGGACTTCAGTAGGTGCTAAAGCTATAACTGCAACAAAGATCTACAACAAAGGTCAGAAGACAGTAATACACAAAATGACAACAAGAAGGAGCAAAATGCAATCTCAGAACACAAGACCACCCATAACAAGTGCAGAGGACACTAACACAGAATAAACTGGGAATCACAGAGCTGAAAGCAATGAATCAACAGCTTCTGAAATAAAGAAACA